ACATATTTAAAAAAAATCTTATGAAAGCTCAGTTAAAATCAATATTGTTAATGAACATTTCGACGTTTCACAGAAGTCGAGGCATTTTCTGACATACCAGACTACTGAAGAAAGGAGCAGAGCATGGAAATAGGATAAATTATCTACTGGATCGAGGCATGGTTGACCTATACGCAACAAGAGAGTTTCCATAAATGTGGACCCGTGACAAGTGGTCTGCCACAAGGATCAGTATTGGGCCCTTTGTTGTTCACGATATACATAAACTATATAGATGAGAAAATAAATTGGGGCATAAGAAAGACTGGCAAAGACACTACAATAGGCAGTATTATAAATCCTGATGATGACACTAGCGCCCTACAGGATGGGAAGGACAAGATAATGTGACATGCGAAATGGAAAATGCAGTTTAATGTAGACAAATGTGAAATTCTTTTTCTAGGAAAAAAAATAACCATGGCACTTACAAACTAAACTAATCAGTGCAGATCTATTTGAAACTAAACGCAGTAAAAGATTAGGAACTCTAGATCGAAGCCAAGATAACAGTGCATAACTACTCCCAGTCAAACTAATAGAAGTCTTGGATGCTATAATTTATACCCCATGAGGCATAAGTAATAGAAATTCTAAGCATATACTTCAACTTTACATATCCTTGATAAGGTCTCGCTTAGATTATGCGACACAGTTCTAGTCTCTTCATAGAAGGATGGATATAAATTCACAGGAAATTACACAGAGAAGGATGACCAAGATTATCCACTGTATCAGGAATTATTCTTAGATAGCCGCAAATTAAAGTGTACAAAGGGAAAGAGAAATAAATAAAGATGATATAAATGACGTGCCTAAAATTTCTAACCAAGACATGACTCGCAGTAATGAGTTTAAGTTAGACAAATTTAGATTTAGAAAGGATATAGGAAGCGCTGGCTTTTTTTTTTTTTTTTGAAAGAGTTGTGAATAAGTGGAACACACTCCTAAGTAGCCTTGCTGAAGTTAGAACTTTGTATAGTTTTCAAAATAGGCTGCACAGTTACGTGGTTGGGCACGAGCCTGACCTACAAAATCGTAATGACACAACTGTAAACAAACTATACCACGGGCGGGGTTAGAACCCGCAATCAGTCATAAAACTCCAGACGGTCGCGTTAGCCACTGGGTCAGCTAGCCACAATAAGATTCATCCAACTAGGTATATTTATATTTATAGCCTTCCTTTGGTGTAGAAATATACCTAGTTGGATGAATCTTATTGTAACCAGCTGGCCCAGTGGCTTACGCGAAGGTCTGGAGTTTTATGACTCTCTGATCGCGGGTTCTAACCCCACCCGTGGTATGGTTTGACATATGTAGTATGGACCAGTAGGCCTGTTACAGTGTTCCACTGCTTTTATGTAAGCTCTACTTCTGTGAGTTCTTTCTTGTAAGTCCTACTCGTGAGAGTTTTATTATGAGCCTCGCTCCGGCTCCTTCAATATCTCATAGTTTGTTCCTCCACCACTATTTTGTTTTGCAGTTGTGAGTTCAATAACGTGAGCTCAGCATTCGTGGGTACAGCTCCTGGTGTGAGCCGGTCCTCGTAAGCTCCACCTGTGTGTGTCTCCTGCTGCTACTGTCAGTCACTTGCTGTGTAAGCAATTTATATGTGTCCTGCTGCTGCTGCTGCTGCTGCTGCTGCTGCTTGGAGTCAGTCTTTGTAAGTCGCTATTGCTGCTGATAGAAGCTCATCATTGCAAGCCGCCTTAAAGACACTCTACAATACCACTGCAAAACTCTGGCGCAACTCTTGGGCATGACCTACTTCCACTAGTGGGCCCGGCCCACCTGTGACTATGCCTTCAACTGCTTCACATCTCTTCTGACTCCCTTATATAACTCTTCATCTTCCTGAGTTTTCTTCATGCTAACCGAGGCAAGTGACTGAACACATACCAAGACTGATTACTTCATCTTCCGCTGTCTCCAGGACGCAATAACTCTTTTCATTTGAAAGAACCAGTGATTGGCGATACATGTTCATAATAAAGATACAGAGGCGTTGAACATGTGTCATTTTAAAGATACTCAGGTGTTGAACATGTGTCATTCTAAGGATACTCAGGTGTTGAACATGTGTCATTCTAAGGATACCCAAGTGTTGAACATGTGTCATTCTAAGGATACTCAGGTGTTGAACATGTGTCATTCTAAGGATACTCAGGGGTTGAACATGTGTCATTCTAAGGCTACCCAAGTGTTGAACATGTGTCATTCTAAGGATACCCAAGGGTTGAACATGTGTCATTCTATGGATACCCAAGGGTTGAACATGTGTCATTCTAAGGATACCCAAGGGTTGAACATGTGTCATTCTAAGGATACCCAAGGGTTGAACATGTGTCATTCTAAGGATACCCAAGGGTTGAACATGTGTCATTCGCCAGTGTGTCGGTATGATAAACCATTTCTATAATATTATGAGTTTCCTGAGTGTGGAGTTTAAGAATTAGGAATATTAATATTTATCACTGGAAACATTGTGGAGAGTTGCAAACATATGACTTTATGACAGGTTTGTGCCAGTTATAACCCGGAGTTAAATTGTAATAAGACATATAACTAAGAACCCA